TCGCCTCTGGAAGGTGGGACTCATGTGCCAAGGGAGTCACCTGCTCCCACTGCCATGAATTGGTGGGTAGCCACAGTGCCAACAACTGCTCATTCCCTGATTTGCAGAAGGGGCCCTCCCGCTGATGCTTTACCTTTCAGGGCAGCTGCCAATTTTATCGTACACAGAGCAGTCCAGGAACGGTATGACAGTGCACAAGGACAACCCGCTCCCCACCTTTCACAGGTATTCCAAGGACATGTCAATGGACAAGCTTGATTACGTGCAGCTCATTCTTCCAAAATCGAGTGGGAACACGGCCTTGCACAGCCTTTTCCCGGAGACGTAATCACACCTGTCAGCAATGCCAACACTTGCTTGATGAGTTTAGGGACATTAAAGAATGCATTCGTCAGGTGCGGAGCCAACTGAGTGCTGTCTTCTCATAAATGCATGGCACTAGGCTGGTTCAGGTATGCAGAAACCATTATTCAGTCCTTGATTACTCAGTAATTGGGCAATGGTAGTTGGGTGTGTTCAATTGTTATCAAGAAGTACTGAGTGATCAAAAAGCTTACTGGGAAGTTACTATCGAAAGGCATAAACACCAGAGTGGTTGCTACTGAAGTCTATGAGACTTAAGTCATGACTAACTTTTCACCTTGGTTTCAAGAGGACTTAAGTGGAACTAAGTGTTGAGGTTACAATTTTAAAGCCCACTGATCAGGCTGTTGGTGCCTGAACTTGCTTCCTTTCCTCTTCCCTCCTCATTCCTTTTTCCTTTTGTTTGAATTTATTAGACTGTGAGCTTGCAGGGAGACTCATGGTCTTTAATCTGTAGAGTGCTCAGTATATTTTTGGTGCTTCATGAATGAAGAAAGAAAGAGGTTGAGGGAGGGAGGGAGACTATAATATCTAGGTGGCACTGCAGTATAGCAGAATAATCTAATACACATGAGGACATTGCATTTTCTTTTGTCTTTGCAATTAAATGCCACATTTTCCCTGCTCTAAAAGGACTTGCTGAGAGCACTGATTAGACACACAAGCAAAACCAGAGGGTCACACCATCATTTAAAGGCTCCATAAATAACCATGAGTAGGGAATGGTGAGTATATGATAAAAGCTGTGTGTAGAAAGCTTTCCTAGTTAGAAGTGAGTGGCACTGCTTTTTTGCTGTTCTGCTCCTACTTGGATGGCCATTTCCAGAAGGAATTGCGTGGAATTTCTGTTCATCTGTTTGGCAGAAATACTTTGGGACTCCATGAGGTTCTATCCTACATGACACCACCAAGTAAGATCATCTGAGGATTTAGGGTGCAGTCAAACTGTATGAAGGAGATACCCAACTCACTCTCTCTCCCACACACATTCCCTCTCTCTGTCATCTATATCACCACCACCACCAAACTCAGCTGAGGCTAAATCTCTTCTAAATCAGAGATCAACCATGGACTACATAAGGCTCAGTCCGAGGGACGGTTAGTGGGTGGTTTGCCTACCCAGGGCACTGGTGTTGAGCATATTCTGCAGTGGTTTGCAGTTCCCCATTAGGATCAGGCCTGAAGCAACCCATCTCTGTCATAAGATACACAAGTGGTCTCTCTGGCCTGGAGAATGTCTTCCAGCTCAGGTTGGTCTACCAGTAAGGATGCTACCTGGATGGGGAAAGCTTTGCTTCAGTGGTCCATAGACCTGGCAATCTTGTTTGATGGCTGCAATGTATCATATGTTGGGCTGCCTTTAAAAATAAAGCATTTCTGTCCTGATACAAACACACATGCATGCATGCACATGCGTGTGCACATACATAGCCATTTTCCACTTTGCATGCTAAATACACATTACCGGCTATGGCTGCATAGCAATATATGCAACTGAAACTTTGGTTAGAATCCAGGTTTGGTCCTTCTGCTTTTACGACTTCAGAGCTGCCTCTGTTACTGGAAGTACTGAGTGAGGCTGAACAGCTACATTAGCCTACTGTGCAGGTATATAGACATTTGTTATCAACAGACAAATATGACACACAGAGTCTCAGTCAAGAATGAAATAAGGAACCGGAGCAGCTCATCTTGCCCAGTCAATGGAGCACTCCAATATTATCAATTTTGCAAACAATTGTGGATGTTAGGGTATGCTCAACTCAACAAAACCTGATGTTTCAAGTGTACTGGTTACCACAATGTCTCCTTGATAGTATTCAAGGATACACGTGCTGTTTTGAATTACTTACCCATCTCTTAAATTTTACATATCAATGTAAAAAGATTTTATGTTCCCTTTTTGACAGCTAAAAGATTAATGTTACAGCATTGGAAGGATAAATATTCACCTGCAATAATACAATGGATGGAGTATTTAATGAAACTTTTGATTCTTGAATGCATGGCATTTAGGTACAAATGGATAAATATATGGATATTTGGGTGGCTTTCTTGAAGTGTAGTATGTTCTGTTGTATGCTAATACTGTATATAGGGATACATCAGTTATATGTAGTGCTGCGGATCTCTTAAAATTTTACTCAAACATTGTAATGTCTTAATAATTCTTTTTTCTAATGGTGTCCATATTACACAATACAACATAACTAAAAGATATTCATGCACACCTATTTTCATGTTCTTTTGTCACCAAAAACCTTCTTATTCTTTCAGGACTTTCATATTTCACAGTGATCCTTAATATTGCTTGAGCTCTGTGATTTTTTATTCTTCAATTCTTATTCAGTGATCTGTTTCGATTTTAATTGGTGAGCTTTACTCACTATGTGCTATTCCGATATGACTTTTAAAAAATTGCTGCTCAGTAAGACGCCCATAGAACTTTCTCATGGGCAAGAAAACAACCAAGCGAGTTATGACTTGAAGCTGCACACAGCACATGATGGATGCAAATGTTGCAGGCTCCCACGTAGAGCTCCCTGAGCCTGCAAGGTTTCCATGTCACACTGTACCTTCAAATCCAGGAAAGGAGCACCAAGTGGGACAATTGCAGGCAGTTGCCGGTATATATTCAGCTTGTACATTTTGATTTAAGCTTCAAAAGTTAATTTAATCTGTCTTTCTATCAATAATACTTCAATACCAAATGTAAACAATTAGCTCACAGCAAAATCAATAAACAGTATCTTGTGTCTAGGGATGGGCAAACAAGCAATGTTCAAGATCATTATGTTTCTCTAAACATTGATTCACTGCTCATCTCATGCCCTTTCCTTTTTTGCATTTGCAGTTGCCATTTGTGCTGCATAAATAGGAAACCTGCACAAATCGAGCAATGATACAACAGGAGACTTGTGCAAATGTCTCCAAATTGTTCTACTTTCCTCCATAGACTAAGTGGGTCTGAGTCAATCTACCAAAGGTATTTGCACACATGGAACATGTGCTCAGATGAAACTGGGAACAAGAGGATGCTCTTATTTGTGGTTTCGAAGGGTGCACACTCACCTGTTTGGGAAGAGGAAACTTAAATTCTCAGACATCCCTACTTGTGCATCCTCATGGAGCACGTCATATGAGTGCCCTCTACTGGGCAGCCCCTGGCATAGTCCCCAGCTGGAGATTTATGAAATAATTAAAGACAAACCAGTTATTTAAAAAGAAGGAGCCATAAATTATAGTAAGAAGAAGTTACCAGTCTCCAGGTTTCTCTCTGCATTCAGATCTCAGAAGTATATTCAAGTTGTATCAGGCAAATTACAATGCCGAGCACATTAACTAAGGTATAAGAGTCCAGTCGTACAAACAAATACCTGGGAGTAAATCCCATTCGACTCAGTACAACTTATGTTTCAGTAAACATGTTTACTGAAGTCAGCTTGATATAATTCTGAGCCTGTTTCCCCATCCACAGATTGCTTTGCCTTCCCACTTCTTTCCTTACACCACAAAGTTTTCTGCACAACCTCGGACACAAATGGTCAGGACCAAATGAAGGGCAGCAACACTGTGGGGGCGGGAACTGGCTTTTCTCAATTACCCTCCTCTTCCTCAGTTGAAATCCGTTTCACTGCCTCTTGTGGAGGGCATCTGAGCTAGAGCAGGCCGTAATCCTCCTAACCAATTTGACCTTGCACAGAGATATTATGATATGGGATTTTTCTATTTCTCGTCATCAGGGATCAGCTGGGAACATATTCCACCATGTCATATTCCAATTACAAATAGCACATGCCTGGTACCAACACAGAGCGCTTTTAGATAGAAGTCCCTGAAATCATGTATGTTTTTTTCATCTTTTACTTCAAACTCTTAAGCAGTGTTTACATGATTCATATGCAATATAAGAGCATTGAACAAAATGTGTAAAAAGCAGTGTAAAGCTTTTAAAGTGTGGTTCTGGGGACACTGCCTTTAAAGTAATAAAACATCTTACATTGCTGAGCTTGCACCAAAAGGAAACCAAGAAATCAAAGAGAGGGGCGTTTTGGTCTCTCTCGAGGACAGGCTCCATGAGAAAAAGTGTGAGGACTCTGGAATGTCTTGGAGTTCCTATGCTTTGACTCTTATAGTTAAATGATATTTATTTCTTTAATTGATTGAATAATTTGTGTGCCACCCCTTCCCCCAGCTGAAGCTCTCTGAGAGGTTTACAACAATCAGTGCAGTTTATGTGATTCCTTTCCACAAAATGGGTTTTTTTAAACAACTAGTTATTATTTTCTCCACAGTTACTAGCTATGCTTTGGAAGTAATGAATTCACTTCATATGTTTTTCACTTTTCTGCTCACATTTCCCAAACTGGTTATGACCTGATCCTCTTTCATAGGACCTGTTTATTTATCACAATATTTTTGTTTGCTTATTTGTATCAGAAGATCAGCATGTATGGTAGTTTAATTAAGGCGTTAGCTTTCCTTTCCCCAGCATTATTCTCTGAAATTCCTGGAATAAAATTTCATTTTTCCCAAAGCAGGCACCTAGGTCAGTGGAAAAGTCAGATAAAAGCCACGTCATGTCATCACAAATGCTTCTGTTCGGAGGTCACTGTTGAAATCAAACTGATTCAGCCTTCGTATGATAATATTTTAATGTTTCTCTAAATGTTGCTAAGGAGAGCTTAGCAATTTATGAAAAATGAAGGAAGTTTATTTTGGATAAACACTTGCAAGGTATTTGGCACAGGAGTCGTGTCAAATTCAAAAGCAAAATGTTTGCAAAACTGGTGCAAGAGTCTTGAAAACTGTGAAGGCTTTTGGAGCAAATATTTGTTACATACTAATCTGTTCAATTTTCACTTTATTAAAAGGGCTGCATTCATAAATACTTTACTGAACTGGGCAAAACATATTTTGAGGTCACTTTTGTTGCTACAGGATAACAATATGATGCTTAATTTTACAACTCTATGTTCTTTAATTGGGAAAGATTCCGCACAGAATAGGTTTCTACTGAATAATCATGGATTTAGAACATTCCGCTTGATGAGGCTTGTCATGGAAAGTAAATTTGTGCATTGTTGGTTGGAACAGTTTTTTTTTCCCGAAAATACTTCCTTCTACTTATTTCTGAACAGGGCAATCCCAGATTTGTCTATTCAGAAGTAAGTCCTGCTGAATTCTGTGGGACATACTTTCAGGCTTATGTGGGTTGGAATGCAACCTTGATTTTTTAATATTGCTCTTTGTCGTTCACAAGCAACTCTGAGTCACTCTGAAGAATAATTTCATTGTCCTGGTACAAAGTGTTGTTAAAACTTGCGGTCTGTGGTTGTCTGAGACGTCTCCTGTAGATATAGAATATGGTGCCCCCAATGGCCAGGCTTAAGAGAACAAGGAGTACCACCATTGCCGTTTTGCCAGGTGATGCTGCAGCACCATCTCTGAGATCTATGAATGGAAAAATGTGGATGCAAAGCATTAAATACTATGGCACAACCGCAAGAACCCCTTGTAAGGCTCGGAGAAGTGCTGGCGCTTGTTGCACCTGATCAAGGTCTGCCAAGAGCTTTCAAACCCAGGAAGTGGGTGCCTTTCTGAGGGACAGAAGAGAACATGGAAGCAGGGAAGCCCTAGCATCAGAACCCTGAAACTTTTTAAGATATTTTTGCTGCCATCCCAAGGTTTCCCAGATATCTCTCCCCTTGACCAGAAGTTCTCTTTTGAGACTAGCTCCATACTGTGAATAACACAAATGTTTACAATTTGATCTGTCTATTAAAAAAATAAAGCAGTCTTACCATCTTTCTTTACGGACGCCTTACTTGGAGACACTTCAAAATCTGCAAAAGTTATGGTGCATATATTTATTGTAGTGAACTGCAGAGGCATGAATGAATTATAAAACAATTTTTAAAAATGAAGCACAGGAGGTATATAGCCATGCAAGGGATTTTTATAAAGCCAGTCAACTGACCAGGAACAGATTTTACTGTGAACCAGTTTGGCAGAAGACGATGCAGTGTCAAGACAAAATGGCTTTTTCTGCCAGCAAACCTGCCCAGTCTCTACCCAGCACTCAAAGGCACACTTGAACCTCTGAATATACACATTTGTCAAATATTGTCAAATCCCCCATCTAGGCATGAGAAGCACAGAAACATATTCTTTGAAGATCATTATGAAGAGGGTGGGTACAGATATGGCAAGGATAGCTTTAATTAGCACGAATTTAGCCAGGGAACAGTTAGAGTGCCTTATTGCATGATTTCATACATACCAATTCGGTACTTAAACACTGCTTTGAAACAGAGTCATTGCTATATTCAGTATATAGCAATATAATTTAAGTCTTACTTTTGTTTGTTTTACAAATAAATCCCCTGGAGTTATAGTTGCAGTGGTTCTTGAACCACTCCCCAGTGTGGCCGTTCATGAAAACACAGTCGCTATGAAATGTGATCGCATTTTCCTCGAAATTTGCTTGGTCATTTGTGAGGCTCTGATTCTCTTTCCAGTTGACAAAATCCACTGCAGTGTTATCTTGCCATATCCATTCTCCTATAGAAAGATATAGAAGGCACTGTAACTAAAAGGCATTGACTGAAGGAGATACTATGCAGAAATACTTTCTAAAATCAGAGCGACTGTTTTACCTATTAAGATATTTAACTTTGGGAAAAAGGGCGATTGAATCAGAACACTAAATACATTAATGATATAAGCTTAGCTTCTTCAGAGCCCTAGAGTTTTTGCTTTTGAAAAGTGTGTGTGTGTGTGTGTGTGAGAGAGAGAGAGAGAGAGAGAGAGAGAGAGATTTCTGCTGTTCCTCCTACTTCCAGTTCTGGATAGTCTGATGACTTCTAGGAACATTTGGGGAGGGGTCATACTGGGATAGAATGGGAAAGAAGAGTTTGGAAAGTGTGTACTGCTCTGCATAAAAACCATTATTTATACTTTTTTTAAAAAAAGTTCATGGACAAAGACGGTTCTTCAATGTAGAATAGACTCCTGCATTCCGTGTATCCCATCTCATTCTGTCATGATCAGAATAACGGACTCATCCCTTCGCTTCCTCCATATGAGTGGAGTGAATTCTACTGCAGAACTGGCTAACCAAGGACCAGAATGAGGAGGAAGTTTCTTTTATTTTTTGGTATTTCATGAAAAATAAATTAGGCTAAAATGGAAGTTTCAAGCAGCCCAGTGCTGTGCATGTTTACTCTGAAGTAAGTCCTGATAAATTTGTAGAATTGGAGCCTTGTTCAGTTGGAAAATTGTTTTCTGGTCACAGTTAGGTGCAGAGATTCTGTATAATGATTCTGTATATTATACCTATAAAACATTATAGGTATAATATAACTCTTTTCCTTAATTGAAGTACATAAAATATCTGTGGTCATGAAGTATATTAAACCATATGCATTTTAAATTTATGTGTGCTAGAAATTTTGATGAAATTTAATTATTTGTTTTAGTATCAGATTTGACAATGTTGTAAAGTCTTCTGTATTGCAAACATATATTTGCATACAAATTTTTCAAATACACCTTTGCAATTTGCTTCATATTGCAAAATAAGTACTGTATATCCAAAGTGTTCTTCTTTAACTAATGGTGTTAAATATGATTCCAGGAAAGTGTGATCAATTTCAGCAGACCAGGGATTCAGCTGCTTTGTGGGTGCCAGCACAGATATTTTTTTAATGTCAGTGATTTAGTCTAGAATGAATTTTTGATGGTTGCTGGGACATAATCTGAGAGCAATCTTGGAATTTTTCCCTTGGGTTTGAGCAATGTTCTCAATTACCTCTTGCAGACATTTTATATGGTCGTTGGGCCCCATTCAGATCTAAAGCCCCCTCTTTTTCCTTGGAGACTTCGGTGGGGTTAAGAATTCAAATGTCCAGCTAGCTGTCTGCCATGCCTTAGGTTAGTAGATGGACAAAGGGCGGGTAAAGTCAAGCTGCAGTTTCCAGGGCAAAATAACTTAATGGATAGGTACAGAGCACCATCGCATCAGCGTGCCAATATTAAGAGTCGATGGAATATTCTCAGAAATGAGTGAGCTTTTTCTGCAAATGCTTACTACAAATCTCATCAATACCAAGGTGAACTGATTTTCTTAGTACAGCTGCTTAACACCAACTTCTCTTCCTATTAAGCAATTTCACTTTGAAAACAACAACACAATATGTATCAGATTTCACAGCATGGCATATACAAAAATACTGAAAGTTTAAATATTACCTTCTATATTTTTGAACATTCCTATCCAAAAGTCCATATGATTGAGTTGTTCAGTGTGTTCCATCAAAAATTTCTGTTCAGCTAAATCTCGTATGGAAGTCAAGGTAGCACCTAGGAAACATCAGAAGAGTTAGGTAAGCTTATCGAAAGTTGTGCTCTTGTTGAAATATATGAGGCAGCCTCAACCAACTGGATGAATGAACGGCAGCCTAGTACAAGCAACAATACGCATTTCTGGATGCTTAAGGATCCAACTTATCCATTCTGAAGGATAATGAAGTATTGGAGGATTCAGATTGTACTACTGGCAAGATCCAGGCAGGGCAGGATCCTTGCTGGATCAGACCAAAGATGCATCTAGTCCAGCATTCTATTCTAACCCTGGCCAAAGAGCTGCCCAAGGAAAAACCACAAGCAGGACCACCATCTCACCCATGTTCCCCAGCAACTAGCATATATGAGTATACTGCCTCTGATGCTGTTTCAGTTTCCTTCTACCCTTGTATCATGGAAGCTGGAAAGAACTTTCTGTTGATAGTGCGCCATTCCATTTTTCTATTTCTTCCTCTTACTTGCCCAAGCATAACATTAATCTGGAGCTTGAGCATGCAATCCTATACCTGCCCCCCACGTGCTCCAAGGAAGCCTCCAAAACCAGCAGTGAAGCAGTAGTAGACAGATAAAGAGCCAGGAAGAGCAAAGCAAGGAGGCTGAGTGCTCAGAGGAGCCGGTGTAAGTCCCCAGCTCTGCCTCTTCTCTGCCCTTCTTGCCCTGTCAGAAGCTGAGACCTCAAGGGAGGCAGCCAGTGTGGTTCTATCTCCAAGGACAAGGCCAGAACGCCCCCAAATCCTGTGGCTTCCTAGATGATGTCAGCAGTAGTGTTTGGCTGAAATGTGGTGAACTTTATGGTTGAGCAGGACTTTATAGTACAGGATGAATTATTTTATCATATCAACATAAACAGAGTATCATAGAATAGTAGAGCTGAAAGGGGCCAAGAAGCTCATTGAGACCAACCCCCTTTCCAGTGCAGGGCAGGATACTAAACAGGTATTCCCAAGTAGAGAAGATTTAGGAGGAGGAGAATCTAATTCAGAATTGCACCCACCTAACTGAGAACATTTCATGGATGATTTAGACCAGGTTTCTCTGCCAGGGTAGATTGCATAACAATGAGACCGAAAAGGAATCCAAGGTATCTGGTTCTTTTTAAACATAGGGCATCTTCCTGGACCTTCTGGGATCTCCGTTGGGTCTATGCCTATTATGGAACGAACAAACAAAAGTTGTTAAAATAGGTCTCTTAATGTACAAATATAGGCAAGCTCATAGCTACCCACAGTCAGGATAAAAATTATTCCTGTGCTTCCCAGTTCAGACTAAACTGCTTTATCTAGTCCTGGCTGGAATGCACACCTGCCTTCCACCTTCATGTGATGCTCTCAGCTAGTTGCTTGGGCCCAACCCCACCTCTGGTCTTCTCCTGTCCTGTGCTTCTGCTCTTGAGCACCAAGTAATACCACATTTGAAGCACTTTGGGAAATTAATATAATATAATTTACAGCTGTGCAGACTGTCCCACCCCAACAGCTTGCAAGAATGAAAATTTATCACATTTTACTTCTTCCAGAGATTCTGGGATAGGGTTAGGGTTGGGGTTATGGTTCCAGAGATTCTGGAACAGTGCAGTTGTTACTTTTGGGGCCCTGAAAGCAGTTCATCACCAGGGTGAGTTAATATTCTCTCATGTTCTAAACACATCCTTTTAGAGAATGTGACCACACTTGACCCTTGCACTCTTCAAGTAGCTTGCAAGACTTCTGCATCAAACTAGACTACTGTGCAAATATTCATCCTAAATCAAGGTGCTGCTCTCTACCACTCCCATAAGCTGCCACTTTAAATGAATGAAGATGACATAAAATATTTTGGAAAGCAAATCGAACTGAAAAACACTCCTGGATGGAACTAGCAAAAACAATAGACCTGCTGGCAAGAGGGCAGATGTGCCTTAGAGGCTGGTATCCTGTCTTACCAACACAAAGTAATGTTTTGTTCAGTAATGATGACAAGGATAGGAAGTAAATACATTATACCCAAATCATAGCTAGGGATGTTGTAAACATAATAATTCATGGTTGAAGAATGCTGAGCTTAAGGTCCATTCATTGTGAAGTACCACATAAATAGGTCACTAAAATTATACCAATTTTTATAAGAGCCAGAACTGATAAAGTCAGGACAATATCAAGAGACTTTATTTTGCCCTCTCTATTCCGTTTTTGTAGCTCAGGAATGACCTAGATGTGCAACACAAGGCTCCTGAAACAATTCTTTAAAATATGTTTGTTGCCTTGTAACAACATAGTTGACTTTTTTGAATGTATTCTAGATGCACATATTATTGTGTGAATATTGCTTAAGATTTTGAAGTAAAATATTTTAAAAATGTAACCTCACAGCACTGTAGAAAAGAATTTCTGCGTGTCCATACAAGAAGTCAGCAAAACTGTATTTCCATGATGACATTATGTTCTTCGGAAATAAAACAATATTACTGGGATACATCAACTGCTGATCAAGCTAAATACAAAAATCCCTAGAAAGGACAAATCTGTTGCAAGGACACATTGACCAAAGGCTGCATCAGAGAAAGCAAACGAGGGAGCAGCTAATGAATATATGGACAAATCTGCAGAATTCTACCGTACACACTAACTGAATTAAAAGCTGAATCCTATAAGTGGCAGCAGCAGTAGAACCTTTCAAATAATTAACTGTGATGTCTTTGCAAAATAACCACAGGACTGACCACAAGTCAGTCTAATGAGATTTCTTATCCAATTAATCACCCTGGAAATAGAAAACCCTGGAAATCAAAGAAGGCTATGCAAAGTCCAGCCTTTTTCTTTTTAGAGTTCTGGGTCCTGAAAAACAGAAAATGGAAGGCTTTTCTAGCAACATAGTGAGACTATTTCTCCTTTGGGTGAGAGGAAGAAAGAATTATCCTCAGACCTACAAGATGACTAAGCATGTGTACAAGTTAATTTTATGTATGCAGGTCCTGCATTTTTTACTTTAAGAAAAATGGTAAGGAACCTAGGGAATAGATCTGGCATATTCCCAGATTGTTTGAATTATTTGGTTTTTATTTATTATAGCCTGCCCCTTTTCCTTTAAGGAACTCAAGGTGGCTCATATAATTTTCCTCGTCTGTTCTGTCTTATTCTCACAACAATCCTGTGATGAAGGTTGGCCTGATAGTCATCCTGTGACAGGCCCAAAGTCATCCAGATGACTCCAAGGCTGAGCAGAGGCTAGAACCCAGGTCGCCTGAGTCCCAGTCCCACACTCTTAACCACTAAGCCACACTGGCTCTCAAATTTTCACATTGAAAACAGCCCTTCCCTTGCCGGGTTTCAGAATAGCAGCTAAAGGTGACATCCAGCTCTTTGAGAGTGTTGTGTTGAGCCCCTTTTTGTTCTTAAACCCAACAGTGACTTAATCAATTTTGTTCATGCAGCCATCAGCCTCCACTGGACCAACCATTGATAGATCCTGAATGGAATTAGCTGTCCTAAGGGTTAGGAAATAACACAACAGCAGAATATACTACCAGTTGAAACTCAACACTATCTAGTGAATACATTGGACTAAAAAATATAGTCAGACTCATTGAAGCCAGTGCGCTAAGGCAATTTGATGCCAAGAGGAAAGCAAGGTATTTATCATATTTCCCTTGGAAAACATTCAAAAGCTGAGGCAGCATCACAGGGAAGACTTTATAAGTGCATTTGCCACTGATGAGACTTGCAGGAAGGCTCTCTCTGAAGATCGAAACACGTGGGAAGGAAGAGCGGGATTGCAGACTTAAGCAACTTGCCTAAGTGGAACCAGACAGTGGTTAGGCAAGGCCAAATGGTGATCTTTGTCTATTTGTCACTTCCCTTCTATTTTTCATTCGTCTCTTTGTTATGATATGATGAGAAAATTTTATTCATTCATTCACTGTGAAAGAGGAAGATGTGCCAAGGGCTGATTTCTAGAGTCTGTGGGAATTTATTAATATGGGGACAAAATTCAAATACATACTTTACTGGAATTAAAGTGTCATGCCTCACATTAAAAGATATCTTCCCTGCTTTACTTACCATAATACTTCTCACAGACAGAAAAGTGCTTTTCATTGCAATTTCCTGTTTTCCAGTGACCATCAAGGTCTAAGTAGACACAGGCAATTTTCTCTTTTGGCTCTTCAGGAGCCCATTGAGTATATTTCAGTTTCCACTTATTTATCCACTTGTAGCTCTCATTCATCTAAAAGCAGAATGCACACCAGAAAATGCTCACTTTGGCTTAGTAAAAGCTTTAAAGTTCATTTAAAGAAAAGTGAAACAATTTGAAGCAGTCCACCTGATTGCACCCTGACCCTTTAGAATAATTTCCTCACGTGCAGGAACTCAATGCAAGTCCATCTGTACATATGGAATCCCCTTTTGCACAAGCACCCAACATACATTTAGCAGGGCAGGGTGCACGAAAAGCAGCAACAAGGCCCAGGCAACACCTCTTGCAGGTCCAACTTTTTTGAAGTGGTTCTACACAGCAAAAAACAGACTGGTTTTCTTGTCCTCCTGCCTGATAAATTAACTTTCACTTAAAGGAAAATGCAGCAAAAACTCCATTGGAAAATAAATTGAAAGCAGACACTGCAGCCTCAGGCATGTTTATTTATTTAATGTTTAGTGGCACATAGGCCACCTCCTTTAGGCATTCAAAGGACCAAGCTGGAGTGAAAAAGCCCCATCTAACCTAAGCAGGAAATGGCAAACAAAGCCAGAAATAAAGTCTTTTATGTATTCAGAGGACTTAATCATGTGATTTGGGCTACACAAGCACATCCAAAAGAACAAAACCACCGTAATGTATTGCCGTACATGGATGATAAAGATTCAGGATACCCATTCACCTGATAATATATGATTTAGATACCCTGCTAGAAATGATTAGGACTGCTCCTAGCATTGGCGTTTATTTAGTATTAGTATGAGAGCAAGTCAATAGACCTGGCTACTGAGGAATAGGTAAATAGCATAAATAGCTAAACTGTAGCTAAGACCAAACTGGATATGTTAAGTTCCTTTTCATCTTGCTAAGTACTATTGATAGATTTTGAGGGCTTTGGACAAGAGTCTTTCCTAGCCCTTCTAGGAGATGAAAGAAAATGAACCTTGGTAGTGTGTTCTACATTGGACGATGGCTTATAGGAGAGGAAATTGAGTGGATTTGTGATACCTTGGCTGAAGCAGAGCGTGGCTTCAAACATAAATAGATAACAGGGCAGGTTCACATGATCATGGAAAGAAATCCACTTCCAGCCACCATAGCTTCCTTCCCTGCTTCATGCATGATGGCCGCAGACTGCCTCATCAGCATGAGGTTTATGTTGTCCAGGCCCAGCAAGTGCAGGGGCATGAACAGTTTACAAACCACTCTGCCAGACTAGAACAAGCCATGGGATCCTCAGTTATGCAAACCTGGGCATGATGGGGGCAAAGAAATGGGTAACCTTTGTAAAGGTCTATGGACACTTCTTTATCCTGCCTCTAGAACCACAGTTAAATTTATATTAGAGCTGCTAGTTCTGCTGATACAGTGAAGATGTGCATTCTAGCTACACACCTGGAAATTGGTGACTGATTTTATCTAACCCTGTTTTGGAAGAGATTCTAATGGAGGAAACTGTCCACAATGTCAACAGATAAAAACCCTGTGCTGGCAACGTATCGCAAGACTCGGCATGGGTACGGCTACGGACATGCTCAAAGCCCTCGCATGGGTGAATAGCTTTCTGCTCTTGGCCGCCTGCCATTCTTACCATATTGCTGTTTAGCCCGATCCACACCGGCTCCCCATATTTTAACACCTGCAGCCACAGGAATGATTGGACGTAGGGAGTTAAAACTCTGGCAAGTTCTGCCCCCTCGGAGCGACACTTTCTTCGTGCTTCTTCCCAAGTCATTTTGGGGCTAGCAAGCGAATAGCTGCTGTTTCCATAAGGGACATAGCCGGAGGCCGGAATGGTCGTTTCGTGGTGAGGCAGTGCTGGATCTATGCAGCAAAGTAATGCAGAGAAAAGGCAGAGGTCAGTTTAGACGGCACATATTCTCTAATGACATAAATTGGTTTCACATGATGCTGACATGCTAAATATTGCTGTTCCCCACATTTCATTATCTTAGGGTTCCAAAAATCTGAAATACAGTGTTTTAACAACCTAAAAGTTCAGTGAAGATTTTCACTGTGGCAAAATATAGTTGTATTCAGTTTCTAAGAAAAAAATCTGGATCATGCTGGCCAATCTATTATATTTATAATCTCTAAAGAGTTAAACCCAGGCCTGTTTGAATGATATCTCTATTCTTTCCAGGTTAAGAAAGGTACTCTTGTGTAATTACTTGCTTTCCATTGCAGAAGACTTGTTCAGCCTTCTAAGTGGGCCAGTGAACATATATGCAGCATATAGATTCGGGTGCTATTCTTGCATTCACATGTTTGCACGTACCTCAGAGACATAGGTTACCATTGTGAGTAACTGAGCAGAACTATGTGTATGACACAAAAATATAGCTCAACTTATACGAGCAGGTTTTTTCTGGTCTGTTCTTGATGAATGGGTTGTGGAGTGAGGTGAAATGGGTTGTGGAATGAATAGAGTGAGGCGAGGGGAAATCAGGTTATTTACTGGGGATGCCTAATCACGGTTCTCTGGTGTCATGCATCATTTCTACATATCTGCATGATATTTATCATAGCTGACACTTTCTAAAGAAAAGACTGATCAGTACATCAGTACATGCATTTAAAGATAACAAAGTTATGTTCTTTCTGCCCAGAATAATTTATCATAGAAAACTGGCTTTGGACTACATCTGAATTACAAATAATTTTCTGCTGCAAGTCTTCTAAAAACTTACCAACGTTTTTTTGGCAAATGTAGCTTTTCTTAGTTTTACAGTATTGATTTCGCCAATTTCCTGCCAATCTTTCAGGCTTAGCATTTATAAAAACACAGTCACCCTAGGGAATAAAGAAGAGTTCTACGTTGTACAAACTTCCAGTTGTGATCACAATTCTCCTTCTGTATTTTTCAGATTGGAGGAGATATGATTCTGTGCTTTTCAGAGCCAAGTCAGATGCTCTGTGTGTAAATACATATCCATTGCATTGCATTCGTGTTGTGCCTAACATAGGATAAGTCTGTACATTGGAAAACCCCGAGGGGGAGGGGGACTTCCCCTGGTCACAGGATGTAGTGATAGCAAAAGGACTCAGTGGACTCTGGCAAACATACTGAAACATACTGAAACCTCCACCCAGGAAGTTTCTAGAGTTGGTTTCTGTGCTGACTTGGCAGCCATTCCCACTCCAATCTTTTTACCATCGCTCCTGGGACTCCAAGAGCAGAAAAGGTGCCAAGCAGCAATGCTGGAGAAATCCAGGATTGACTACAATACATATGGATTTCTAAGAACTGGATCCACAAAATTCAGAGAAGACTGGCCACTCCATGCTATGACAAGTCTACAGACTTTTGATCGATTTTAATTCCCCCAAATCTATGCAAATCTATTTGTCTGGAAAAATGCAAGTTTGCACTGAGACATCAGCCCATCCAAAAATATCAGTAAATTGTGCACACTTGGAAAAGCTAGATGGAATGTTGGAAAATGTGTTAATTTTTATGTCCTAATGTTTGTGGTAAATTGTGGTGAAAATTCTAATGGGTTTTTGTGTGCACTCTTATGCACACTGAAAAAATACAGAAACTGTTAGCAGGCACCAGGACAAAGAATCCACAAAATGCACATGGGACAGGTTCCACAAGGTCTGGATGTCCCTAGAGTCAAGTCCACGCCAGACTCAGAGCAAAAGCACAGTGCATGCCAGGCAACCTTCTATCTCTGAGCCATACGCAGGAGGATGAAGCTGTGAGTGACCCATCTTCTGAATCATGGCAGCTATAGTAGCAGCTATGAAATTGCTAGCTGCTGCTGATTCATTGCTTCTCAGCTAGCTCCTTGGTCTCAAAAGTCTCCTGTTTCCTGGCTGGGCAGCATCTTTGTTATCTCCGTATCATGCCCTTAGCCTAACTCTTTGCCCTTTTGGATGACTCTTCAACCTCTTCAGGAGACATGGATTCTGAACTCTAGCCGTGACAAGAAAAGGAAAATGCCAAGGGAGTACACCAAGCCCAAATGCAAATATGCATACAAAACCCTATGTCTTGACCAATCAGATGGAGACGATACGAAGTACTCCATCTTACCGAACCTCTGTTTTTGTTTTCCTTGGCTAATTGTCTGCATAAGGGAGGCAGCTCTTCACACACAGGGGAGGGGAGGGGAGGGGAGGGGAAGGAGGGCTGTTGCCTGAAATTAAACTTGAAATGGATTAATGGCCATGGAGATTGAAAGAGAGTGTGGAGATTTAAAAGGGAGTCGTGGTGGGGGGCAAAGGGGAACAGTAACCATTAATCATGACATGTAAACATCATTCTTACAAGTTTCTTGGCATTATCAAAGTGCCTCTGAACATATGCAGTGTCCAAAGGGCTGGTCTTACTAGCCATAACAACTCAGTACTTAGGGGATAGATGGGAGATTACTGTTAAGAGAAATGCTAGATAGCAGCTCCTGTTGAGAGGATCAGGAGCACAGGGAGCGAGATGGGAGAGATGTGGTTCCAAACATCTCCACTCTCCACCTTAACTCTGATTGGGAAGTGGCGCATCGACACATTATGCTCTAGCACTTACCTTCTTGCAGAATGCAAACATGGAAAAAATATCCTAGATGGAGTTAAGTATGAATGGTCAAACCTGAAGAACTTTTTAAAAGTTTAATGTGCAGATCTCATTCTGATCAAAACTGATCAAATGTCATTTCTGACACAAGGTTTCTTTGGAAATTGTCCACAGTCCCATTGTCTGTTCTGGATACTTTCCCTGATGTGCTTTTGGTTGTAGGAATGAAACATCAAGGATATTTGTTGCATGTGAGAAAAAGGAAGGAACAACTTTTCAGGCAAGACTTACATGATGGTCTGGAAACCCTTTGCCCCAGTCTGTATAGTAGACACCAGTTCCATCTGTCCAAAGGTAATGACGATCCCAATTGATATCATTCAGTCCAATCCAGGCATTAGCAGAAATGTTTTTTAAGTGCATGGTAAGGAACGCTGAATGAAAATAAAGATAGGTTTTTAGCATGAAGCATTTGGAAGCCACAAACTTTTCATTTACAAGTGAGCACTTATGGATCATCATGAACTGAACTGATGATACTGTGCTCACCTTGATGCTTTTCATATTCCTTAGATGTAACAGCAAAAAAAAAAAAAAAAGTTAAAAATTGCCTAACAGGCTTGGACCAAAGGGCCAGGTAGGCCAGCACATGGCATTCTCTCCCTAGAAGAGCACAAGCACATCATCGAAGGAGACCCAGGGTGATTTCTGGGTGGGCCAGGCAGCTACAAGCTTCAAGCATGCAGGACACGTACAAAGTGGTAAGGGAGGCTGAGGTAATGAGAAACTCCAAGTCACAAGCATCGTTTTAACTGATAAAGGTAGGAGCTTCTGCAAATATTAATTGATAGAAATAGTTGTGAGCGGGCATATTAAGACCTGCACTGCGGCAAATTATAGACAACCAATGTAGAGCTTCTGGCTTCCTTTGTGTGGGAAGGTATATAAACGATGTGAAAAGTTTGAACAGGACTCTCTGCAACTGTGAAGTGCAGGGAACCTTTATTTTGCAAGCAAAATCCTTTTTTTAAAAAAAAAACTCTTACTCCCTTGTCTGCTCTTTAGAAGGCCAGGTCCTGAAGATGAAACTCAAATACTTTGGCCACCTAATGAGAAGGAAGGACTCCCTGGAGAAGAGCCTGATGCTGGGAACAATTGATGGCAAAAGAAGAAGGGGACGGCAGAGGATGAGGTGGCTAGATGGAGTCACTGAAGCAGTTGGTGTGAGCTTAGGTGGACTCTGGGGGATGGTGGAGGACAGGAAGGCCTGGAGGAGTGTTGTCCATGGGGTCGTGATGGGTTGGACACGACTTCACGACTAACAACAACAACAACTCCCTTGTTGTGTATTATTAGGCTGGCATGCCAGGGAAAAATGCCATTATGGTCAATTTCTGATTATATAGGAATACTAAATGCCTGGAAGCCTTTGAGTTTGGAGGGTTCTGTGTATCCAGGGCAGGGCAATAGGACTGTGCCCTAAGTCAGTTTTAGCTGCACTGGGCCATTGTCAAGCTGCTTAGCTATTGCCAGCTGAAGCCAACATATATGTTCAGTGGTATTGCAGAATAATCATGGGCCTTTGCTCATTTTATGACCTTTGCATACTGCGTAGCTAGTGAGCAGCCTGGAGTCCCATGGAAGGGCTCACACTGTGTGTTGCTGCAGTCTGGCCCCAGTTTTCAGATCTACTCTGTGATTTGGGCTTTCTCATGTTATCTGAGTGGCAAGGAAGGAGCCAAATGCAGTAGCTCCAATGGCATGACATCAGCATCTTTTAAAACTGATCATCTCGCATGAACAATTGATTTTAAATTGTACCTTGTACTGCTTTGCTTGATATAGTCACCAGGTTTCCTCCTCGATTCCTGCAATCAGTGCGAGCATCACTCCAGTTTTTCTTCTCATCTTCATGAAAACCAAAGATCTGGAAGCACTGGAGAGGGAAAAAGCCCTCGCTAAAATTCCGTCAATCATGAAAGGATTCATGGAATTCTCAGTAATGAAACCATCAACCAATTTACAGGGTAGCTGTTCTAGACAATTAATGACTTTAGTACAGCTTGAGAAGGAATCCAGAACCAGTGAGGCCCTGTGAGAGCAGGGTTTTCCATTGCCTTTGGGGACAAAAGAAATGACTTAAGATCGTATTTTCTGAAGTTTGATTTTATGCTTGTTTAATGTATGCTTTGTGCCATGAGATACACTTTGTGTATTTTCATGTGAGATGACCTGCCTCAGTTGGCACCCTGAGGAGGGGATTGGTGAAGGCCAGAACAGACCATAAAACCTTTGATACTCCAGTAGAAATGGCTGGCCAATACTGCAGCTCTGCTTGGGATGACGTTCCCCTCATGACATTTTTAACATAGCACATTAAAAAAAAATTTAAGCAGAAAATGCATAGCTTAAACTGTTAAAAATCCCCTTTAATGAAGATCCTAAAGCTATTTATAAAGACCATAGTTCTTTTGGGGTTTTACAGAATTGCTCACTGTTCTATTAATTGTTACGACTGTTTTGAAATACAGCAGCCTCTTCAGGCATCATGGCATGCACAGTGTATGTGTGTGCGAGTCGCAGTGGAGACACCTGGATGAAAAGTTCCACCTCTGATCAGTATGTCTTCATTGCATTTCATTAATAAGTTGAGTACATTTCTAGACTGCCCAATAGCTGAAGCTCTCTAGGTGTATCGCCACAATTAAAACTATAAAGTATAGCATGATAACATGCAATATAAATGTTTAATATTTTAAAACTTCTGTATAAAAAACTGAAGAAGGAAAATAAAACCTAGCAATAGTGCAAAGATAAAATACAGTAAGGGTGCAATCCAGTTGGGAGTGTCTCTAACCCTCTGAACTTGGAGGCTTACATGACTCCTACGCAGGGCAGAAGGACTTGGAGGTGACAGTCACCTGGAGCGCCTTCCATCCTGAAAAACACTTCGACAATTGGTTCTGGCTAAGCGGGGCACCTCAGAGTCCAGCAGGATATCTTGGCAGTGCTGGTCTCATCCCTTTCCCACCCGCAGAATGCTCCCAAAGCCCTTCTTCCAGGCCACTCTTGCACCACTGGAGGCACAGCTGATGTGCTTCTTTCGATGCCAGCTGCAAGAATCGCAGAGATGGAGATCTGAATCCCAGCTACAGAGTTGGAGTGATTTTCCAGCTTCACAGCTGAGGATCATTTTAAACAGGAGAAAAAGAAAGACTAACATGTCTGAGAGCATCAGACGGTCTTTACTTGCTGCTAAAAAGAGCACGAGCTCTCAAATGAGCTCTAAGTATTGAGCTTGGACATAGAAAGCAATTGTTTCATGCTTAAAAACCCAGAAGCATTACTTGCACATATTCTAATGTCGCAAAAAGGCTGGATAGTTGAGATATTTGGAAGGGCTACATTAGTTACCTTGTTATCAAACCAAAGCCAGCCTTCAGCACAACCTGCCAGGGGGGCAGGCATTGTGGGAGCAACAGTTGGGCGGACAGAGCTGTTATGTCTTTCACAGATGAAGCTCTGCTCAACACCACAATTTAGATCATTCCATAAGCCTAAACAGAGAGGTAAAGTTGTCAACATCATATTAAATCACTACCTGCAGAAGAAGTGTCAATAGATCTTCAAGCATATGTTACAAAATATATTTTTTAAATGAATCTTATCTTGTGAGCCACCACTCTTAATTTCTCTGGTGCATAGTCAATTATTCCAGAGCTTGATTTGAACCCACATGACAGAGCAGCCTTGCCGAAGTTAACCAGGACTAGGTCTAGTCAGTGCCTGAAAGAGGATCCGACTGTGCATATACTGTATGCTGCCTTAAGTTCCATGTAGCGAAAAATGATGTGGTATCAAAGTCAACCAGGAAGCAGTCAATTTTGTGTTAGATATTGTGCAGGACATCACAAAGAGATTTAAATCATACATGTGCAATCTATAGATTACAAGATATGTTTTTTCCAAGATCTCTCTTGTTATGGTATCTTGGATATATTATCTGGATTAGGTAGCCGTTAAATTAGAGACTTTAACACCCTGCCATTGGCAAAGGACAACAGTGAAAGCTTTCCATTTCAAATGTATACATGTGGGTGGAAAAATGATTGTGAATACAGATTCTGGGGGCTGGTTCCAGGTTCAGTGAAAGTAAGTCCACTGAAATCAATAGGTCTTCAGTTTGTCATGATTTACTTAAGTCCCACTGAAACCAATGGGTCTACTCTATGAGTGCTGCAGTCTGGAACCAGACCAGTTCCAGCAGTTGTCCTGTATTAATTATTCTTTTGGTGCACTCCCAAACATACACGCACAGCAGCATACGTGGTTAAATACACTCTTTTTCTCCTTACCTGTATTGAGATACATAACCACACAGTTTTCATCATCATTTGCAAAGTTGGGTTCATCATTGGCCCAGGCTTCATATGTCACTGGAGAGCCATCCATCCAGCTACATAACATTATATGAGAGTTTGGGAATAACAATGTAATTAGTCATGCACATATTTACATTTCTGCAGTGCCTAAATGTTAATAGGCACCTCCAGCCAAAGATCCAACGACCAAAATATACATAAATAATATTGAAAGGGAAGGCACTGAATAAAGTCTATAATTTGGAGAAAATGACACATTAATGAAAAACACAGAAATGAAAAGCAATTATCAGCATCTGGTAATAATACATTCTGTTGAATTTCAGAAAGTGCTTCCACTCAAGGGCTAACATTCTTTTCCATATACACCCATATACCTCTTTGAGTTCTTTCCCCAAAAAGACCATCAGATGTCTACCAGCAAATGTCTTTAAATATGTCCTCATAACATTTCTTTATTATCTCCAGTACCTATTAATTTTCAATTCTGCCAATTACCAACTAAAGTCTCCAGGCTTTTCTTCAGCTTTGCCAGAGTTGGTTGAAAACTTTAGAGGCATTCACAGTAGCTTTCTAAAATTAGGATAGTAATGTTACTAGTCATTTTTTCCTGTTTTATATTATTAATTTGTTACCAAACCATGTTTCACCTTGCACATTACAATTTGTGTAAGTATAATTTCATTTTTATATGTTTTGTTCACTTACCCAAATTTTTTATCAAGTCCCAGAATTAAACCAATGTAAGGGTTCTTCATTGACGATACATGGATGACACTCTAGAACATATGAAGAAAGAATACAAAGACACAAGTACAGGTTATCTAGCTTTTACTAGTGAATGCAGCCTGTTTTGCATGTGGAAGAATATCCCCTATGTTGTTTCTACTAAGGCTGCAAGCAAACTTTCATAACTCTTGGAGTTTTTTTTTTAAAGATTTTTATTAGGATTTTTAAACTACTACTAAAAACATCAATCATAAAATACATCGGACATACTGGGTCAGCCCCCTACTACATATTTTTTTTGAACATTGTATAGTCATAATCAAATCCATTTATAACAACTTAAAAACATCTTTAAATCTAAGCCAAGTCCCGTTTCTCCAGCCAGTAATAAAAAAATTCCCAAGTTTGATAGAAGGTAACTCTTGGAGTTTGATGCATGAAGGCGGCACTGCAGAGTGATTGGGATACAGGGAGGAAGTGGCTGGAGGTGGAAGAAAACCTACAACCTAGGAATTGAGAAAATAAATTACAATAAACTTCCTGAATTGCCTTCCAGACGATCTCTGGGTTGGGCAGCAAAGCAAGGGATAGATTTATGTGCAGACCATATACTCATAGCCTACTAGAGTTGGAAGGCGACATAAGGCCATTGGTTCCAATGCCCTGCTCAATGCAGGATTCCATTTCAAAGCATCCCTAAGAGATGCATTTTGAATGCCTCCTGTGTTGGGAGAGCCCACAGCCTTCCTAGGAGTTTGGTTCCATTGCCGTATTGCTCTAACAGTTATGAAAATTTTTCCTGAGGTTCGCTGGAAACTGGCTTCCTGGACCTTGAGCCCATTATTCCTTGTTCTGCACTCTGGGATGATCGAGAAGGGAACCAGGCCTTCCTCTTTGTGACAACCCCTCTTCAAGTCTTTAACTCCCTTAGGCCTACTCTTTTCAATGCTGACTTCCTCAAGAGCATTGCTGGCCAGCTGGTATTAATCCAGATCACCCTCAAGTGGTGTACCAGTGCAAGAAAAGACTAGCAACTCTGGCTGCCAGAACATCCCGTGTGTAAAAACACTGGAGACTCCCTGGCTATGTATGTTATATGCTAAATAAACAGTACTTCCCAAGTATTAGTTACAGCCAGACTAACGTACCTTACTTCGTGTTAACTTTTGGAAAATTTTGGCTGTGGCTGACACCAAAGTTGGCCTAGGATTGCACATGGCTATTCTCCTGTGCATTTATATTTATTTATATTTATGGATATATCACATGCAAGTATCAGCACTAAGCAGCACTTGGAAAAGTAGTGCTAGGATGATGCTTATTACTTGTCTTTTCATGATGTGAAACACTCAGTTAAGGTTGCTTAACTATTGCAAGGTTCTGGCTCCCTAATCGTGCATCACTGTCTAGAATTGAGCTGCAACACTTCCAGCATACACGCCTGTTCCTGCCCACCAAACTTAAATGGGTACCCTCTTAGGGTGCTTTCAGAGTTTAGGTTCCAAGCCCCACCCGCTGAGGAAATGCCTTCTAGATTCTGGAAGAAAATGATCAGTAGACAGAGAAATGGCAGTTCTCAAATCATTTCTCTGGTTCTTTTTTGAACCCTGCTGCATTGGTTAGTGAAACACAGGTTCCATATATTTCTTACATATTTATGCAGGAAGTTTCTTTCACTTTCACTTTCAATGACAACAAGATCACCACTATGCCTCTTGCAGAATGTCCGAGCTTTTTCTGCAGGGACCGATGCATTACTGAAATAGTACTCCTTGTTTCCATATGCAATCCAACCATCTTCAATTATTTTAATTTCAAAGTCTGCAAAGCAAGGAGAAGCAACACTAAGATGGTGCTTCTAACACACTGCATGAATTATAAGGCTTCGTTTTGTTATGAAATTAGCTGGCATACCTAAATCATTTCTTGGTTCTGGTTTTAAGGGCACACCTGCGGGGAAAAAAGCTAGTTTTAAAATTTCCAAGTAACATTTCAATGCACTCTAATTTTTGGTACTGCAAAAGGTCATTCGTAAAAATGGAAGTAAAGGATGATTCATAGCTGACCCCATTTCTCTCCACAAGGGATAACAGTTCAAGAAAAATGATCCGTGTTTTTCTGTACTCAGTACACCTTCAATGTAATACTTGCCTTGTTGTCATCTGAACAGAATACTTTACATTTCATTATGTCACTAAATGAAGTCACAAAATTTAAACTTAGCAGTGAAAGCAGCATGTGCTTAGCACATAACAGTGGGCTTCTCTGAAAGGCAGGAAGAGAGACATTGTAGCAAAAGATACATCTATAGTGTTGCCCCATGAATATGTTGATAAAGGGTTCTTACCTCTTTTTATTTGGCAAATCCAAGGATGCAAGATTTCACACAGAAAAGGCAGCCAAAGTCCAAACCTATAAATTACGCTGCATTGTTTATTTTCACTTCTCAAATATGGGAACAAGGTCCGTGGTTGGAGATCTAGCTACAAGGAAAAAAAATGTGTTACACATTTTTATAAAATACATTTTATTTCATTTTCCACCAGCTGAAATCTTCAAAAAGGAGACAGAATTACAATTGTGACCTTACACTAGTTTGTGGGCACACTGCTCCTTTGGGAGGTTTCTCAGGGTTCACATCAAAAGAGGGCAAAAGGCTTGGCTCACTGATACTTGGCTCAGTCACTTGCTGACCATGGCAATAGCATCTAACCCGTTGTGCCTAGGCATTATTTCATGCATCCCCTGGGTGAAGGCGATCATAACAGCCATCAGTATAAACCAAGCTTGTCCTGGCTGACCGTGCCCACTTTGGACAAGCTGGAATCGAAGCAGCATGATAAGGAGGGCGCTTCCTAAGCAGACTGGATGAGTGCCGTCTTCAGGCAGGGCCACCCCAGTCATCAAACAACGGGCTCTACGTCAGATTGGATATGCAAATCACATTTTTAAAGACTTTAAGGTTGGGTGCTTCTCTGTCTTAACATTGTAAAACACTGCTGTGGAGCCAATCCAAGTCCATTAGAGCCAAAAAGCTTGAACAGGAATATTATTAGTTAAATACTGGTAATGAGCAATTTATTAACAGGACATTTGTACTGATCATTTACTTACAGGTGATCCATCACTCCATGAATATCCTTCCTCAGGGTCCAGACGTCTTAAACCAATCCAGGCTTCTTTAATATTCCTAAAACATAATACGTTATTACACAGAGTCCAGAAAATACTGAGGGTAAACATTTCCTGACATTCTTAGTGATAAAATTTCCATAATTAATAATTTGAATCAAAAACAAATATCAGATATCCATTTTTACCAGCATGTTCCAGCAAAGGGCCAGCCGGTGCTGAGCAAAGGGGAACTAGTACTTCTCATGATTTGGGAGTGATGCTTCTATTAATGCAGCCCAAATTAGCATTTGCCCTGTTTGCAGCCTAATCCCATTGTTGATTCATATTCAGCTTGTGATTTATGACCATTCCTTTTCACTTGCAGTATCATTGAGTCAAGTATCCCCCATCTGGTAATGGTGCTTTTGGTTTCTTTTTCCTAGGTGCATTTGTCCCGTGTGTGGGCGGGCGGGTGGGTGTGTGACTGAGAGACTGAGACAAAGGCATAGAGAAAATTAATGTGTGAATGGCACCTGGGCAATTGAATAGGAGGGTACATGCTTGTGGTGGGATATGAGATATGATTTGGGATGGGGTCTACTTTGGGGTATGGTCCCATCCACTTTGGATGAAGCCCTGGTTACAGCTGGCATTTGACCCCTGGCCCCCCATGTACATGTCTGGGGCCAGTTTGGCCCTGGGCCAAAAAAGGGACTATTAATCTTGAATAAATCAAAGCAGGATTTTAAATGGCACCCCACTTCCAAAATCTATTGTTGTTGCTGTTACTATTAGCATTTCTGCTTTAAGAACTGATGCCAGCTTACAACTCAAGAAGTTTACGTTTTCCTAAAAATTGTAATCATCTTACCCACCCAATTATCTCATTAATCAATAGTGAGCCTTTAAAAAAGTAGCAGCAAGCATTTCATTGAACTCACCATCGTCCAACCATTATCAATTCTTCATTACTATGGAAAGAAATCAGGTCTCCTCCAAGGGCTCGACAAAAATCTAGTGCTTCAAACCAATTTTTCCTATGCTTTTTCTCATCGAGGAAGGCCTAAATATATACAAACACAATTACCTATTTGGCAACAAGCATCATCTTTTATTCTATAGCATCTCTTCCTCTGAACTTTGCTAATTCGTCTCCTTGGCTCATACCATACCTTTTACTCCTTTCCATTCAGACTCCAATTTCTCCTTCCTCATCTGTACCACTTTTGACAATGTCCATCAAACTGTGCCTCTCTCAACATCTGTCTTTATCACATCCAAGCAATTTGTCAATAATACACAGAAGCAGGAAAGTGTGAGCTTCCCTAATACAACGGTTTGAGACACATCCGTGATACAGGGAGCGATATTAGTAGGGCACACCTGACTTACCTGAGATGTGAGAGGATGCACCAATGGTGCTTCTCCCATGTCAATCAATGCAGGAGCACACCTTGACAGCCACAGTGAGAATGGGGCTCTACCTGCTTCTGAATGTATGTGTTGTCCTCTTACATGTACAGGGGAATCCTTACTGGTCCAGATTCTTTAATCGAAAGGAAAACTCCTACATCCAAACAGTGTATTGTCTGTTCTTGCATAGAGTTACCATGGGAAATTGCTTCTGGGCACACCACCACTTCCCTACTCATGCATTGAGTTAGTGGACGTTGGGGATCACGAGTACCCCATTCTCTCAAAAGAGGAATAAGCACTAACCCAGATTTCATGATTTAAAACATGCAACAGGGATGTTGGAATACAGACCTGGTCCCTTGCTGACTAGGGAGAGAGGAGAAAAAAAAAATAACTGGGCTGTTCTAGAATTGTAAACAGAATAAGTTCCCATTCTTATGGGACATGGTTGAGATACATCTTTCTAAATGTAAGAGTTAAGTGTACCTCTTACTTCCTTTTGGATACTGTAGTCTAGGGGGAAATCTACATCTAGCATTTTTACTGGGATAGTAATGCCTGTTTCACTGGCATGCCATATGATGCTCACCCCCAAATGTCCTCCTTTTGCTATTTCCGCCTTTATATCCAGTTATATTGCAACTTTCCAGACCACTTGTATTGCAACTTTTTATAGGCAGTGTTTTTTTCATGTACACATCCCGGTATCTGCTAAACTCGCAGTACTGTTCTGAAGAAAGGAGTAATGGGTCAGTGGAGAAGTGTCCTGTCAGCCCTCAGTTGCTTCTGGCCTCCCTCAATCTCTGACTCACCCAGCAAACTTGACCATAAGTGCAGGGCTGCTTCCCCCTTTTGTTTCCCCATCCTTTGAAAAAAGAATGTTGGCAATTTCTTCTCAACCTGTCCTGATCATTTCCTCTGTTCTCTTGTTTCAAAAAACAACACTTGTCTGCTCAGAAGTAAATCCTATTATCTTCAATGGCCTTACTCAAAAGTGCATTGCATGGACTTCAGTGGAGCTCACTCATAGGAAAGTCAGGTGAGGGGGTGAATGGGGGCCCTGCTTCTGCTAACGTCTCCCCATGGGAGGCAAGGGGACAGCTGCAGGCAGTGACACAGCTCTCCCCTTTCCCTTTCTCTATTGCGCATATATATGCACACAGTACATATCTATATCTATATCTATGTGTATATATATTTACACACACGTGTGCACACGCACATGCACCCCCCACCTACCTATGCACCTTTTTGTGAGGGAAAGAGGAACTGTCACTTCCCTCACTTAAAACAAAAACAAAAACCTCAGTTCCTTTGTTGAATCACATTTGAGCACAGCTGTCGGATTTTGAAAAAGGAGGAAAAAAATCTGCCCACATCCTCTTTCCAACTCCTCCAATTTCTTGAGCAATTGTATTGGCGGTGACACAAGATCACATTCTCAATTACGCATGGCAAACACATTTGGCACAAGTACCATGACTACGCCTCATAAGCAAAAGGGCTCTAGTGTGGCTCTCTGTGCATCGAGGCAGGGACAAGCCTGGCCCAGTCCAGGTGAGTCTGTAGAATTCTTCTTACTGATCATCTAAAGGCAGATTTAATTCGGCATCTGACAGACATGGTCTAGCTACCAGGATTTTCTGCAAACGAAAGCTTGCATGTGCTGTCTGAATTTTCTTCTGGTGTTACCTTTTTTTGGATCATGCAATCTTCACACATTCAGATGATGACTAAGTTCTGGCTAAGGTTTCATTTTTATGTATTAGACCACGCATTTTACTTCTATTTCCCACACTGTGCTTGTGTAGCTCACAGTGTAGAAAACAAACAAGCAGTTAAACTAAAATGAAAACCCTCGAAGGTTTTGAAAGGCTCTGTGAAATGCAAAAGCCATTTGCACCTTTATTCTGCTATTCACTTAAGCAAGCAAGTGCTTGGACCCAAACAGGTATATACATACTTTGATGCAAATGTCTCTGGTTGGGCTTGGAGACCATCCTTCTGGGCACGAGGGTGGGGGTGTTGTTGTCAGGGCAGGGGGAGGCGTCACACCTTCTGCCCACTGTTTGCAGAGGAAAGGCGCCTTCTCCTCACAGCTCACGACATCCCACAATCCAGCCGCAGTTCCAGTCCTCATGGCAACACATCCGGACTGCTGCCCTTTTTGAGGTACAAGACAGGAGCCAATCGAATTGCCTTTCATTCAAATAAATGTCTTTGCATATGACACCTGATTGACATCCGTAGTACATACCAGGCATTCTTGCATTCCAGTGGGTGAATAGAACATGCTCTCCATTGGTCCAATTAAAAGTTCCTGGCTGGTCCACATCTGAAAGGCCAATCCAGAAATATTTTGCAGAATGCAGCCCAACTAGACTTGTCAGGTAGGCCTGTTCATATCTGTGAAATAAATTAGGTAGTGAATGCATCATATGCGCAAGAGATGACTAACTTTTTCAATTAAGTGTGCAGCCTGCTTACCTACACCCTCAAGGAGTGTAAGCCTCTGATCTCAAAATGTTCATGAGTATGTTTCATTCATCCATCCATCCATCCATCCACCCATTCATTCATTTCTGTATTGTGCCACAGCTGAAGTGCTCTGGGCAGTTTATACAATCCATAAAAACAAATGATAGAAATAAAACAAAGCATCATAAAAATCAGAAACAAATGAAACAGCTGAAATCAAATGATAAAAACAAATAATATGAAGAATTAAAGAGTGGCTCTGAAAACACCTGGGGTGCCCCTTCAAACTTTTGGGTGGCCAAATCCATCCTTAAGTGTCAGCAAAGAGGCTGGTCTTGACCTGGTGCAGAAAAGATGACAGATTTGGTGCCAGTTGGGCCACAGTGGGGAGGCTACTCCATATATAGGGAGCCACCACCAAGAAAGCCCTCCCACAAGTTGCCACCCTCTGTACTTCCTTTGGAGTTGGCACTTGAATAAGGATCCAGAGTTTAAGCATAGTGTCTGACTGGATTGTGGTTGAGAGAAGTGCTTCAACAGGCATTGTGATCCTAAGCCATGTAGGACTTCATAGGTTAAGACCAGCACCTTGAATTGGAACTGAAAGCATCCAGTGCAGGCAGGCCAGAACCAGTCTTATATGTTTGGACTTACAGGTCCTGGTTATTAAGTTGAGTGCCACATTCTGCACCAGCTGCAGCTTCTGGACCATCTTCAAGGGCAGTCTCATATAGAGTGGGTTGCAGTAATTGAATCTAGAGATTACCAGAATGTAGACTGCTGAAGCCAGGCAACCCTGTGGGAATTCATCCCTGCCTCGCCGCATTCATGCTGTAGCTAGGCACGCTACGCTCAGCCAATAGTATTGTAATTTACCAGCCAATAGTATTGCAACTTACCCAGCCAATAGCATTGTACTTCACCTGTGTAACCATATAGGCTTGTGACCATATATAGCAATAAGTACGCTTCCTGTTTCCTGCGCCTGCGCATAAGCAATCAGTAAGCATTTTGAATCCTGCGCTTGCGCACAATGATTAGGGAGTTGGCTGATTAACTCGATGGCGATTGGTGTAGGCAAATACAAATGTAACAATCTGTGAATTAATAAAAAGGGGCTGCCGGTGGTGAGGAAAGGGGACATCTTTAGGAGGACATCTTTAAGAGGACATTTTAGGAAGAATTCCTAAAGAAGAACTTCTTTGTTCTCCAGAGTACTCAACCGAGCATGCTTTGAAACTTTATCTCTCGTCTGCAGTGTTTTATTTCTCTCTCTGAACTCTCTCGCGCCGATTGTCGGAGCAGGCACTCCGACACAACCCCTTTCCAAGTAGGGGCACAGCTGGGCCATTAGCCAAAGATGGTAGAAGGCATTCTGAGCCACCAGTGTCACTGGAGCCTCAAGTGACAACGATGGATCAAGGAGCACCTCCAAGCTATGAACCTGATCCTTCTAGAGCAAGTTGAAGATCTCCCATCCAGTCAAGTGAATCTCCCACCGACAGCATCTCAGTCTTGTCTGGATTGAGTTTAGCCTTATCCAGTCCATTATTGTGGACAAACACTGGCTTAGCACATCCATAGCCTTACTGACAATGAACAGAGTTAATTTACCCATTGCATAGCACACGTAAACCTAGAAGCTTTTTCTTCTCTTGTCTCACTGAGCATGGAACCATAAAAGCAACAGTTGAAATTAATTGAAGGAACAGTCAGGCACCAAAAAACACATTTCTTTTCTTCTTTGACTTGCAGTGTGTCTGGAGGAGAAGGAAAAAGCTCCCAAACAACTGGACCAGTTATTTTCTGGTTTGTGGTCTTTCACCCCCACACCCCACACTCTGCACCTCATTACTGTTAAAAATTCCTGTTTCTAAAGTTAATGTTAAAAATGCCTGTTTCTACATACCTGTCCTGCACGGAAGTCAGTGATGCCTCATTAGCTTCACAGAAGCTCTTTGCCTCTGAGAATATTACAGGTGTTTGTCCAATGAAATAACAATGCAAATTATGTCTTTTCCAACCCTGTCAAAAGAACCAGCAACAGTAAGTTATTATAATCTTATTTTGGGGATGCTGCTGAAAGAGCTCCAAAACAAGAATCTTCACTTCAGGGGTCAGAGAACTGGCACCTGCCTGTCCTATGTGTGATGTTAGTGGTGTCATGAATGCATCACTCCTATGCATCAGTGATGTCACCACCTCAAACAGTGAAGGAGGCCATGTACCTCCATAGAAATATGTCAGCTGTTCTGCAATCCTCTTTTGAACCCAGACTGCCTGCACCAGAATCTAAAAGATACTGTGGGAACATCTCCAGATGTTTGATAGAAATCCAGGCAGGAACTCGGATTACTAGGAATGATTTCTGGAGCAGAACAGCTGCCTTTCATAGGATGGTGGGTTCATCTGGTTCTGGTGGCCTACAAGAATGGCAGCACCTCTCTCTGTTTTAGATCCTTTTGCAGTGGAAATGCAAGGATTTGAAACAACAACTACTGGTGTTGAATTGAGAGCCAAATCACAAGACTGGTTGAAATCTACATTTTAGGAATTTGGAGTGGCTACCCCCATTCCTCTTTGCATCTATGAGGAAGGATTTCTATATAATCACCAACATTCTAGAAAAACTAGCAGTCTTCTCTAGGGTGGGGACAGGGAAGACTTCAAGCTTGAATGGTTGTTTGTTTTTTTCTAGAAGTATGAGATCTAGTAAAAATCATTTGTAAAACAATGACTCAGGAGGAGAGGCACATACTCCTAGAACGAAGGGTGTCATGGACCTCAGGATCAGACCAGAAAAGTTGTATTCAGTATCAGAACCAAGGCCACCCTCCTTTCTAGTGGTCCCCTCCTGGTTTTCCACTCAGGCTCTCTTGGGTGCTTCATTTGGATGGGAAAAAGGCTTTTGGCTATTGTGGCTCTTAAGCAACTGTGAGTCAGAAACAATTGCTGATCTATTTTAAAAAATCACCTAGAGTTCTAGCTTCTGTTAACCTTTGTTCATGGGTAAAGAAAGAAAAAAGTGTGCTAATGAAATCTCACCACTCTCCTTGGACAACAGTGTAGGGGAGAAGAGACTTACCGCAGCCAGCAGAGAAAATGCAAAAGCAGTGCACATGGGGGGACCAGACAGATTCAGGAACAGCAGGGTAATCACTCATCAGTGGAGGAGGAGGAGAAGGAGAAGGCATGGCCCATGTTCAAGTTTGAGCTTAGTTTGAGTGTGGGTTGGCATTGAACCATAGGTTCTAATTGAGGTGCAGATTGTCTGAACCCAGCTGAGATAACAAACTATGGTGGACAACTCACAGTTCAAAACCCAACAACAAGCTATGGATTCTCTTCATAAGTTGTTCATGGTTAACCACCCACAGGTTGTTAGGACAACTACGTCCATACATACAGTTACAGAACAACACCCAAGGGTTGTTGTCTCTACACAGTCATTGAGAGAAAATGTGGATGGAAGAGATCTTTTACTATCAATGGTGCTTGTACATTAATTGAAGGCCATTTGCAGGCCATGGACAGCTTCATATTTTCTTTAACATTATTGTAATACTAATATCTGTTTGAGGGTAATACATTTCTGATGCTGCTTCACAGTTTACTATAGACTTACTTTCTTGCAGTTTGGATCAGCTGTTTCAGCTTCCTCAGGAAGAGATGCCAAAGGCTCCCTTTTGCAGATGTAACCAAGCTCCTCTTCACAGAAGTAATCTGCCCAAAACCCATTCTGGGGAAGGAAAGGGGAAGAAATATAAATCCCAATGCAAATGGCTCAGCTTTGCTTACATTTCCTGGTTTTCCCAATGTTTGATGTCTTTCATGATGAAGTAAAACTTGATGAGCTGCACAATGGCAAGAATATTGAAAAGAAGAAGGTCTGTTCCCTTTGCTATTCTCCTAAATCTACCTGCAAGTGCTGTGCTGCCCGCAGCTGTACAGGCAAGAGTGCCAAGGGAGCCAGGAGGGAGGGAGGGAGGGAGAGATCTATCTTAAGGCTGCAGATGATAAACAGGAAATGGGAGCTTTGGAAGTTTCATTGCTAGCTCACTTTGAGAATCTTAGGCTGACATAATCTAACTCATTTAAAATAATTTTAAAATGTATGATTTCAAGGTTGCATTATTCTGCCCAAAAGATAAATCAAACCTATTTTTTCCTAGAAACTTCAAACTTCAAAAGAAACTGCAAAAGGCAAGAAGAGCTGGATTTGGCTGCCTTTATATATTATGTGTATTGTTTTATTTTGTCGTTAGTTTTTATTTTGTCTTTTCTAACCTCAGATGGGAGCAAAGAATAAAAACTGGAAGAATTGAACATACACAACCAGGAGCTGGAAATCTTGTTCAGAACTTGTCTGGTTTCTGTGAGATAAACAGGCATTTCTCACTTAAGAACTGGTTTCATTAATAGCTACTGGAAAAGTCCTTTAAAATTTTGCTCCCTGATTGATAAATTGAATCTAACATTTTATGCCCCCTCTCCAGAGAGTAAGCCCATCAAACCTGGTAGGACTGGCTTCTGAGTGTATATCCATCAAATTGGACAACAGAGGTTGACATTCAAATATTCTTTTGTTGAGGAGAGAAGACGGCTGCAACTGTATGCAGGGTTAGTTGTACTTAGGTCTATCCTAAAGGCATGTAGAACATAGACTGGACCAAAATGTTTAATCTGAGCCTATATTTAGACAGCTTTTCAGAGGGAAGTGCAATTTTAGTAGGAGGGATGGGCTTCCTAGTTTTCACCTCCCCACTCATGGTGACGCAATCTTCCTGCACGTCGCTGATGTGTGTCGGCTCCCCTCGCTGCCACTTGGTAAATCTCACGGGAGCACCGTCACTCCATTCAAAATACATCTGAGTCTTCCGGTCATTCAGTCCTATCCAGAGCACGTCTGTCGGTCCTAAGAACAGAAAGGCATGTTGTTTACTTGCTCTCAGACTTAGGTGTAAGAGGCCCAGTGGTGACCACGTAGCTGCATGTGGTATAGCTGTGGAAATAGGGGGCTATTCATAAATGCAGCCCAATTCAAGTTGTTCATGCACAGCTGCACAGATTATTGGGGAGTGTCTGTGCTGACAGGATCACTAAAATGTTTTGTGTGCTTGCACTGTTGTTAGAAATGAGCAGCATCTGGTAGCCAGTTTCATTTCACATATCGGACTTGGTTGTTCCTCATAGGAGCTATAACAGGACGTATTTGCCCTCTGTGATACTTTTCACCAGCCCCAGAGAGCCCTGCAATTCACCGGAAGCTCGAGCACATGTCTGTTTTAGCTGCACTTTGAAAAGGAGACCATCAGAATTTCTGTCTTGCACATTATGACTCCTGATCCAACTGTGCTGGCAAACTGCGTTCTGACTTGTGCTCTTGCTGTCGTTACGGCATTCATTTGTGATAAATACGAATATAGAAAAGCATACATTTCCAAATAGGACTTTTAGTTTCTGAATTCTGTAAAAAGACCAAATATTCTGGGACTGCTTAGCATTCAGTCCTTGTTTGTGAGTGATTTCTCTGTCTCTCTCTGAGCCTCCTAGCTAAGACGGAGAGTTGGAGTGTTTGGGTTGGATCCAGGATTTCCTGTCCATGAAAGGAAGGGACCTTTGACAAACCTTTTCTGGTGGAAGGTACCTCAGCCTAGTTCTGGGGGCTCTTTCTTTCCCCATGATAGTCTCTGACTCTCTTTGCAGCATTTTTAAAGGAAGAAGTAGTGGAGAGAGGTCCATGAGTGCAGTTAATATAGTATAAATGTGGGTCCAAACTTATTATTACATTGCATAAAACCTGTGGTTTTAAAGAAGACCATAGATACAGTGGGCATGACAGAAATATGGTGGGCTGGAGAGAACTGGTGGGCGTGGTCATCTCAAGTTCTGCAAGGAAGGGCATCCCAACGGAGGTATTTCTCTGCCCATCAAAAGAGGGCAAATCCCCAAACAACCTCCAATGGGCAGATTCATTCACAAAATCACTGAAAATCACTGAAAAAAATAATGCAAAGCAAACCAATTATCAGGTCCCAATGGTATCCATTTGAAAGTTATTAAATAACTTGTGAAATTACTGATTTTCAGGCAAAATATGTATTGTATCTCTAAGACTGGCATCTTCATTAAACCGAAAATTGTAGGTGACGTGGGCTCTTGGCCCTTTTTTGGTCAGGGGGTTGTTGATCATTTGAATTTGCTACAGAAAGTGGTGTTCCCTAATATTTTTCTTGCTGAGCCTTTTAAATTTTATTTTAATTAATTGATTGATTAATTATGTTGCTTTGCTGGCAAATGCCAATGAAAAAAAATCAGTGTGACTTCTTCAATGGTAGATTCTGTCCTGTTGACTTTGTGTTTTTTGGTTCTGAGCATGGTGGTGGGTATGTGGATGAGTTGATCTGGTGGACCTTCTTCACTTCCAAAAAGTTTGGGATAAATTCCCTCACTGAGGATTTTTGAGAAAGGGAATTCATAAGACATGGCCCCTGTTGCACCATCAGATGGTTGCAAAACAGCGAGAGAGAATAGAAGTACATGGTCAGTTCTTGCAATGGGAGAATGTAAGCCGTGGAAATTCCAAAGATCAGTGGCTTTTAAGTTTTCTGACTACCAAAATATTTAGGATGGTTAAAAGAAAAAGCATTTGCCAAAAGTTTCAAAAGTATCTTTCCACATGGAGAGAATGGTTATTAAATCAGTGAATGTGGATTGTTGTACACGAGTGTAAACTGGGACATGGTGGGGGAAAAAATTGCTTCACATAAATACTGATATGGTCAGAGCTGGGAGTGACTGACCAGAAAAGGGATCCTGTGGTTATGGTGGAGAATGCTGTGAAAATAGCCCTGGGATGTTGCCACTGTGAAAAAGGCAACTTCTACCTATGAAAGCAGGAGAAAGGGCCTTGAAAATAAAATTGTTCATATTAGATGCTTTTATACATATTTACTATGCATAAGTTATGGCCACACCATAGCTCAGTGTATAGTTTTGGTTACTTCACTTTAAAAGGGATTGTAGACCCTAAAAAAACACAAGGAAGGGTAACAAAATGAATAAGGGGCTTCAGCAACTCTAGTATGAGAACACAGCCTTGTACGAAAATCAGGAATCTGATAACAGATTTAGGAAGATCAGGAATCTGACACAGTCAGATGAGGAAAGAAGGCAAGTAAAGAGAAACATAAAAGGGAATAAAAGCGATATAACATTATTCCCGGTGTGCAGAAATGGGATAGAAAGGCTTTTTTCTTCCTTTCTCATAAGACTAGGGTCATCCACTGAAGCTGAACAGTGAAAGATTTAGGACAAATGAAAGGAGGTGCTTTTTCACACTATACCTATTTAAACTATGGAATTTTCTACCACAAGATGCCATGCTGGCTACCAGTCTGGATGGCTTGAAAAGGGTTTGTTCTTGTGCTCCATGTGTGCTTATATCCCCCACCCCAAGAATCCAAGAGAACAGATCTTTGGAGATACACTTACTGTAGCCAAGCTGGGAAATGACAAAGCTGTATTCTTCAATGTTGTGTATACTTATTAAATCTCCACCATCCTTTTGACAGGATAATAATGCCTGCCTCCAAGTCTTGGGCTCTCTGTTAAGATGGTAACAGTGATCTACATACCCAACCCAGCCATCTGGGCATTTAACAGTCTTAGTAGGGTCTAGAAAGGTAAAAGACATATTTCAATCAGCATAAATAGAAACATTTTGCACTGTTTTTCAAACTGTGGGTTGGAATCCATCAGTAGGTCTTAGTCAACCTTCAGGTGGATCTCAGTGCTGCATTAGCACATTTTACAGCAACTTCCATATTTTTAAAGTATAAAGCTTTCATGCATTTCCAGAAAGTTAAAAAAAACAGCCAGAAAATTCATGGAGTCTGCATAACTCAGAAAAGCCAGTCACATGCAGCTTCCATTATCAGATTCCTAGTCCTTGACTCTGACATCTCTGAACCTGTGTGTATGGCTATTCTCTTTTGCATGCATCATTTTGAAAACTTTAATTTTAGCATAGATGTGAATATAACCTGTATTTATTTCAAGTACTTAAATGCCACTCCTCAGTCAAAAAGTCTCCTAGAACATTTGCATATAATAAATTAAGCAAGACAGCCCCTTCCTGCAGACTTATCATTGAAAAAGACATGCTACACAAGGAAGAAAAGATGGGAGGAATGAAGAGAGAATTAATTCTTTTAATGGTATGCAGCCTCCTGGAATGGCTACCAGTGACCACAGCAGGACATGAGGCTTCGTGATGGAGAGGGGCAGCACCTTGCCGCTGGACTGTGCAACCCCTCCTGCTAGAATGCTGGGCAAGAAAAATTAATCAGATCCCAAAGATGTGCTTCCATTTGCACATCTTGCAGAAGAAGCAGCACGTGTAAGATTGTGTGCAAGTGGAAGCTCAACGTTGGAATTAGATCTATAAGCAGAAGCACAATGAGCACTGCCATAGGACCTGTCCCTGTTTCAGTGCTGCACGAAGTGGGGCGTATCCTAGCTCTGCAGCACTAGCAGCTCTTCTGCTCCTGCTCATCTAAGCTTACTATGGCTTACTAAAAGGTAATAAAGCAATTTTATGAAGTCATATATAAGAAAAAGAGCCTAAGTGTTAACTTTGTAGTCCTATCATGGGATTCTTATTTTTTAATTTTATTTATACCCCATTTTCATTTCATGATAGAATGAGGTGCTGTATAGATGATTCCCATCAGTTTCCCAACCTTGCTGCAATATATGCCCTATATATGCCCAATATATGTCCCAATATATGGGACCATGCCTAAGATCTGTACTGACAAATAACTCCACTGATAGATTCTGTGCCTCTTGCCACTGGCAAGAAATCCTCAGGTAAGGTCCAGTGAATTGTTTTGTGTTTGGTATATTGCTACTAAAATCAAAAGTGGCAAACCCAGAACTGTGTTAAGGTGGCATCATGGGCTGGAGTAATCACCATATATTTTATCTGTAACTCCCAGCAGGAGTAGTTAACTCCGGGTGAACATGATGGAATTGCAGGCCAAACCATTGGGAGGGCCACAAGTTGCCCATTGGACATGGCACTCTCTATGAAAGGAAACAACGTCTCTATGGGTAAATGTGCTATCCAGGTTACCATCCTACCCGAAGGAATAACAGAAGCATCTGATGACGAGTTTGCTCTTTTGCAAATGTATCCAAGTTGCTGACTGCATTTCTCATTCTTCCACTTGCCATTATGGGCCACCATTAGTCCACAGATTTTTTCTGTTTCTGAACTTGGGCTACCTTTAAAAATAAGAATGAAAGAAATGTAACAATAAGTCTTCATATCCTTTGTTAACACTCCAGTATGTTTCTGTTTACTGTCCTTTATTTGGGGAAAAAAACCTGGACATTGGGTTTTTCAATACTCTACCTCGCAATAAATTCCTTCAAGTGTTTCGCATTTTTGACTATCTAGGAAATGGTGCTTTCGGTTTCAAACTATATTTTAGCTCATAGATGTCCTCTCACCTGGAGCCCAGTTTAAATATCTTAAAGGATGGTTGTCCATCCACTGCCATCCACTGTCAAAATCCAGATTGTTAAGTCCAATCCAGTAGTCAGAAGTCATACTACTTGTTATTCCTATTTAAAGAAAAGAAAATCGGTTAGATTGTACAACATTTTATTTATTTTATTTTATTTATTAAAACATTTCTATGCCGCCCCTTGCCGTAGCCTCGGGGCGGCTCACAGCATACTTGGTTAGGAGTTACATAATTTTGAAGCTAATCATAAATGAAACAAGATACCCCCCCCCACCCAAGAAAAAGACCTGGTGTGCCAGTTTTTATTGTGGCATGACTTTTGTACTTTTCATGGTGTGTATGAAGGAAAAATTAATCAGGTGAAGCTTTTCGTCTGGCATGCAGGTACAACTGTTCATGAGCTTCAGCCAATATATTTCTGCTCATTATACAATTGTTCAAGGTGGTAGTGATCTGCAAAGAATTTGACAATCCTAAGTGAAATGGATCATACACATTTACACTGTTTGAAGGTGTTTTAACCCAGTTTAATTCTTCAGTGGAAGAAAGTATATTCTTTGCTGTGTTTTTGAAAACTCTTACTACAGGTGAGACAATATTTTTTTCATGAAAGGAATGTCTTAAGAGACTGATCACTTTTGCAGGTATGCTATGCCATGTTATACCTGTCAGATACGTTTGCTCATGTAGCTCTCCAATGCTCAATAATTCAGCATTCTGCTGCTGACAGCTTTTTCTTGCTTCATACCATGTAAGAGCTGAGTGGTCGTTGATCTGGTAGAGATCTCCCGTCCAGTGGTTTTTGGTCCAGAATAATTCATCTTTATCTGTAAGCATAGATGAATGACTAGATGAATAGATGACTACTGTGAAGTCATAGTATCACCAGCAGTGAAGCTTCACTCAGTGAAGCAGTGAAGGTGGCCCACCCATCAGGTCATACAGCAACACCTTGCTTGCTCTGACACCCACACCTTGGCCATGGACATCTGCAGAGGGAAAACACGCACACTTAGGGTAGAACTTCCCCTGAGCTTGGGACCCTGCATGCTCATGCTCGCGTGTGGGCCTTCCCCCCAGAGATATCCACACTTAATGCTTGCTTAATAGAACTAGGGAGAGCTGGGTGGTAGTCCCCCCTCTGCCATGGAGCTTACTGGGAGAATATGGGCCAGTCACAGGGCCTATCCTGTCTCACAGCTTGTTGTTGTGAGGATAAAATTGAGAGGGGAAGGGGGCATATATAGCTGTGAGTTCCTTGAAAGGAAAAAGGGTGGGATACAAATATAAATACATAAAAGGAAATGTCAGTGGAAGCTGCACTCCCTGGCTGGTGGAGCCAGAGGCATGTTTGACTGCCCCTTGATCTTGCACTTACCCCTTCACACAAACAGGATATGCAAGGGCTACTCAGGAGTCCCCAATGTTTTTGGGTCAGTGGGTACAGCTGGAATGTTGACCAATGTCATGTTCACTCTCACTAAATGACTGCAATGAGGTCACTTGTCAATTCATAAAATGCTACCATGGTGGCCATGTTTAGTCACAGATGATACATTTGCTAGAAACAAACCTGATGGGAAAGTAACTTGTCCATGAACCATGAACCAAGTACAAGGCAAATGTGCGGTCTGAGCACTGAAACACAGGCACACAGAGAGGGAAAGAGAGCGCTCTTTTGAACCAAAGTAAAGATGGCAGTAAAGGACAGCATTTTCCTTTTGAGGCAGCCAGTGAGGCAGTCTCCATTAATTTAAAGCTTTCAGAAATATCATGAAAATCAAACATTTATCTGGTGCTGAAGTGGAGGTCCTACACCGTGAACTTCTGGCCAGGGCTGCCTTATCTTTTATACTACATTGTATTTTGCGCTTAAGAATGAATAAATATAGTAGTTCTTCTTATAATAGTCACTCAGTCTGGGTTTTTTTTATATAATGATAGGTTTTAAAATATGTGTGCCCAAAAGAGACACAGTCAAAACAAGGGAAAGGTTGAACATGTTGCAGAAATTTGTGCATCAACTACACAATCTGCAGCAACAGTTTTTAGGGCCTTTGTTCTAATTATATTTAGCAACCCCTGTAGACACATCTAATTGCTGGTTGCAATAGGACCTGCAGCTATAAATACTATAAGGTTCAACTGATCATCTATCAAACATTCCTCCCAACAAAGGTGCAAATAATCTTTTCCTGGGACAGGCATACAGTTCACAGAAAAATATATAATGAACAATATCCTCTATTTGTTGAGCCCCCCACACTAAGATCTATGGTAACAATTATATACCTCCCTACCCATCATGCCAAAGGCATAGTCTAGAAATATAATTCTGTATACAACTTCCTTAGCTCCAAGTGAGCTTGAGAGGTTAAGATAATTAGAGAAAGATTGTTCAGCCTACTAAAGATGGCACCACCTGCTAAATCCTGTTTGTTGAACGGGTTCTGCTTTTTTATTTGTATCCTGTGAAAATGGTCCATCGCTAATTGTTACAGATTCACTCAGATGAAAGGAAGTCAGCAAGAGAGAGGAATAAACCAGTGTTTAAAAACAGGAAGAGTTGAGCTACCCTTGTCCTTCTGTTCTGAATAGGAATATTTAGCCAGTCGATGATTAAGCATGAAAAGAGCACACAGCGCTGTTTGATTTGTCTCAGTGAAGGACTTAACTAAGCCTATCTTATTTCTGTTTTTTTTAGATCAAGGGTGGGCAACCTGCACCTGCCTGAATGTTTTGCCTTACATCAGTGGTGGCGAACCTATGGCATGCTTGGCACGGCGGGCATGCAGAGCCCTCTCTGTCGGCGCGTGAGCCAAGTCGCCCCAGCATTGCCCCAGCAGCCGAGCATCAGATAAAAGCGCACATAGGGGCCATGCACATGCTTGGAAAGGAGTAGTGGCGCCAGGCGACGATTCCTTAGCCGCAACTCATCCGAGCTTTCTCATGGTCAGTCAGTGTATTGCCAAGGATGGATGGATGGATGGATGGATGGATGGATGGATGGATGGATGGATAGATAGATAGATAGATAGATAGATATTTGCTTGGACTGGCTGTGAGGTGTTTTTTCTAAACTAAAACCTCAGTTTTCAGGTTTGATTGCACTGTTGGCACTTTGTGATAAATAAGTGGGTTTTGGGTTGCAGTTTGGGCACTTAGGCTCTAAAAGGTTCACCATCACTGGGTTAGGGTTAGAGAAATGAGGTGTCCTGTCATGAGTTTGATGGTTGGAATGTGTTTGGAATGGGCAGAAATGCTGAGCTG